ACTATTATTTTATAATGAGGATTTATTTTACTTTTATCTGAATAACACGCTTAGTGAACTGCAACAACATTACGACAGCTGTACACCTAACGGCCGGAACAGCCTCGTTTTGCTTTGCGGCAGTCATCTACTTCCTTTTGCCTCGGTGTCTCGTCGGGCTTTAACTCCGCGTGAGGACCGGGAGGATTTACCCGCTCGGTTCGGTGCTACATCGTCCACGGTGAGACCACAGCACAACATGTACACACGGTAGAAGACGCCCTGTTCTCAGTCGTGTATGTGGATGGAAATAGTAGAGACCCGCGAGAGTGTTAGCAGCCCGCCGCTCAGTTAGCTTAGCCATGCTAGGGCGGCCACCTGGCAGGATGACTAGCCTTAGCCTTAGCCGTTATTAGCTAACCGAGTCGCACTTATCATGAAGACATGAATGTGATGAAACGATTTAATCGTAATCCTCGACCCAGACGTAATCTTTGTCTTCCCTCGATGATGATTCAGCTTGTGCCCCTGTCTATACTCCTGTACATGCTAGCTTTAGCTGAGATGCCATAAATGTTTCGCTAAATCAATAATTTCTTCCTGATGTTAATTGTCCTAGCTTCTTTAAGGGCCTCGCAAGTTCAGTGTTTGCAGCTGAAATGCGTCACACGATGACGTTACAATGATTTTAAATCATTTGTATCTATTTTATTGACTCTTAATTGAGTTAATCTCGTTGAGATCTTCCATCTCTTTTTCAAGAGAAACCCGAGAACAATACACATTGATAATACGCGATAAACACAACACAACTAGGAGTAATAATTGATAGCAAAACAAGAAGTTGATTCAAACATCTGTCATGGATATCAACAGAGAATAAAGATGTAAAGTCATCAAGGGGAATGTCAGACTACAGTTGAAGATTCTCATGAATTAGTGGTGTCATCTGCCAGATGTATTTTTTTTACTCAACATGCTGTAAATATGAATTATGACATAAACTGTGAAATTTTGTGGAATTGTGTACTATCTAGATTTCATTCCTTTATTCATGCCATATTCACCAGCTTTTTTGTAGATCAAGAACATTTTCAAATGGGAATCCATTGAATTCATGTTTCTGTTATTCCAGTGAAACAGTTTGGATTTAGATAAACAGGCAGATAGACTGATACATTGATTATTGATAGAAAATCACTTCTGACATATCATTAAAACAATGACATATGTTACAAAAATATGCTCTAAAAACACTGCAGTTTCTAAATAGGTCATAATAAAATAAAAAGGTAAGTAATCACTGTGAAATAGGGAATAATGTGGAGGCAACCAATGAACAATAGAGGTGATGTATGATACACTAATTAAATTACCATCCTCAACACAGAAGAAAATCATTGTACAGTGTCAGAGCCATTGATCGTTAGAGTCTCAGATTCATCAGCAACAATTATGGTTCTTGGGTATGAGTGTTGTTTTCTTATCAATTCATAATACTATATGAAATGATCTTTCAAGTGTGTTTTTTCTGCCTTTATTCTAGGTTTATGTAGTACAGTTTGAAACACAAAGTTTTTCAATTTTTTTAACTAATGCAACAAAGAATCTCATCTCAGAATCTGGAACCAGTAATATTCTTATTATTTTTAATTTGAAAAGTGCTAAACTTAACAGCCTTATTTCCACCAACGCTGGACAAACAACTCCATCAGAGGAGTTCACACCGAGGGGAGAAATCCTTGTTTACTTTTGGTAACTGACCAGGGGTGTGCCGCTTCTGACACACACTCACTCACACACACACACACACAC